TTGCGCGTGAAACGGCAGCACTGGGGGTGAGACAAAGGCGGCCGGGAGTGTGGTGGTGCTGGCCACCAACTCCCACCGTCTGACGTGTGCCGTCCCGGCCTTCGTAGGTGCTACTCGCTAGCAGCACTTGCCCCAACAGTCTATAAAGATCTTTCAACCGGTCCCAGGCCTTCCGTTGGTCGACTCGGCTTTAGGTGAGTACCTGGTGTGGTGTGTGAACATCGGCATTGGGGGGAGACAAAGGCGGTCAAGTGTGGCGCTGGCCACCAACCCTCTTGTGCGCCTTGCCGGCCTTAATAGGTGCTCGCAAACAGCACTTGCCCCAACAGCCTGCTAAAGTCTACGCGGGGTGATGGTGGGGGGGGGGGGCGGTGGAGATCTTTGCGTGTTATCGCAAGATGTGAACTGCAATAATACACTCACTGTCGCAGCCGTTGACGATTTTATTTTAAACATTTTCACCGCCAAGGGTCGTGGGAACTTCCCAGCGCGAAACGGGAAAGATTAACACGGCCTCGAATTTTATTGCCAATCGGTGGAGAAACTCCGGGTGGATCGAAGAGGGCTCGTGAGCGACGATGAAAAATAACCGAATTCCTTTTATCAAAATGTAAACCGGATAGCGAGTTACGGTCGGGCGGCACGTGCAGAGGGATAATGTTTGTCCGGCCTTCGGTCTTGTGTTTCGTCGCCGAATGGATCTAAACGTGGGTTTTGACGATCGTGACATCCGCAGCAAAAAAAAACAAAAAACCTTGTCTTGACGTAAAACAAAACCGCGCAATGGAATTTATTTTTTGCGCCGGTACAATTTTTTTTTTTAAATGACGAAATGCCGGCCACTCGTCGAAAACTTTCGGGGGAAGACCGCGACCGCCTTTTAGAAAATTCTTCCATCAGCACGGTTGGCAACGTACGGTGCAAAAGAAGTTCAAGGTGCATAATTTTTCGTCAGGGGGACGGACGCATTCCTGAAAGGTGCGACGACGAACATCGAAGCGACGTCCATGGAAGCGATTTCCATGGTTAGGTGGTGGAGGCGAAGGCTGAGAGGCGACAGATAACGAGAAATGACGGACGATGCTGTCAGCGACGTGAGTGTGGGTTGAGGCGACGCAAATCAAACTAACTGCAAGTTATTTTTTTATTTTACCAGGTAAGGCCCATTGAGCAACGTGGTTCTTTGTCGGAAGTCACCTGGCCACAAATGAAAGTTCAACGAAAGTGGCTTACCATCGCGTGGACATTTATAGCAGCCAAATACTCTAAACGCGTGATGTTGATTCTAAATTGTGGAGGGAAAAAGCAGATGAGCCAGAGAAAAATCCACACGACCATGGGGAGAGAGACACGTAAAATCTACATTTACAGGAGTCAGGGTCGGGCTCGAACCCACGACCTCCTCCATACCAGGCGAGGGAGTTAACATTTCGCCACCGCAGCGCCCCTAGGTATTGGTAATAATAATAATAACGTGACGACGTATTTGTGAAATTACGTAAAAGCGGGGGGGGGGGGGGGGGGGGGGGACCTAATAGTACTGTATGAACCTTTTGAAGGTACCGGCCGCTTTTAAATATCGTCTAACAATACGTCACTATTTTTTCGTTAAGCGGGTACGCGCCTTCTCTCCCTGGTGGCCTAAATAAGGCTCCGTTAGCCTGAACATTTCTAAATCCCGCGGAGATGGTGGCGGCCGTCTTTGCCTCGTTTTGTCGCAAACAACGGTGGCGGCAGCGGCGAAGGAAATTCTTCGCGAGCGTTTTTTTGCATCGCGGGTCGGTACGGTCGGTGAAATATTACACGACAGCGCTGAAAAAAATTGTCACTTTTTTTTTCATGAATAGCCTCACGTCCCACCGACCAATCGGGAGGCAACGGCTCGTGCTTAATTTAGGCCGATTTATCGCGGACGAATGCTGCCGCGCGCTAATTGGTCTCTAATTGCCACCGTCGCCTCCTGCGTCCCTTCCCGAGGAAAAAAAATCCGCTCCCGTTAAATGCAAATGCGGCCGCCGCGATAAAAAAAAAAAGAAATTCTTCACATTAATTTACATCGAGTGATACCACCCAATTTTTTTGGGAACATGACGGTGTAAAAAAAAAAAGATCAACTTTTTTTTGTTGCTGTTGTTAGTAATTCCTCTGTGTCCGCAAACGACGCCTCCTGGAGCGCTATCGTTTGTCACATTTGCATATCGCAGCGCCCAGCCTGGGAGGTTCAGCGAATTTAATAAATGGTCCCTTCAGTCACGCGGTGCCAAACCGCTCGTGGCAACGCGCGGCCCTCTCGGCGAGGAATGGAAGACCTCGGCAATTCTCAAGCGATTGGACCTGGGCCCCCCACCTCCAACACTTCACCAAGCTGCTGTGATCAGCGTGGTGAAGTATGGTCAAATGAATTCCACCCCCCCCCCCCCCAACCTCCTTCATCTCGTGGTGGATTGACAAGGTGCTGTGAATTACCCTCATTGTTGAATTCGGTTAGACGGGGTGTCGCTTTCACTTTCGAAAATTCGCCGACAACGAAAAGAAGCAATTCGTTACTTCGGGGACCGAACCAGCCCCGACGATTGGAACCAGCTGACGATGACGACAACGATGACGACGACGACAATGACGTGCCGTCACGATGATGATTATGACGACAATGAGAACGATTACGATGATGATGATGATTACGATGACGACAACGGCGAGGGTCGTCGACAAACGCCTTCCCAGCGGAACCGATCGCCAAGCCTCGGACGAAAGCGAACCTGGAGAGCTCTCGCGAGTCGTCGGCTCCCCGTGGCCGAGGATGCGTCCAGAAATTACAAATGGCCACCGCGCCTCGCACGCACGCCGAGCGGCGGTGCCGGCGGCAGCAGCAGCAGCAGCAGTTCGCCATCGTCACCGCCGTTGTCATCGTCGCTTAATTTGCATGCGGTGTATTTCAGCCGTAAGAATCCATTCATTTCCCTTTCCCTCCGTTTTCTCGCCCGCGCCCAGCTCCGTCGCTCCCCCCCGCCTTCTCTCCCCCACCGCCGCTGCCGTGTCCCACGTTTTGTTTTGTTCGGTGTGGTGGTGGGTGGGGGGGCGGAGGGTGGTGGTGCTGTGGGCTGGTTGGGGGATTGGGGGGAAGCCTACGATAATTCTGCGTAGAAATTAGCATGCGAGAAACTACACTCGTTTCGTATGCACGGACGCAACCGTCAGCTGCCAGCGCGCGCGCGCGCAGGCACTGCGCAAACGTGCGCACATTCGCGTGACATTTATTTATAAAAATTATTCGCAGACCGTCGGGACGAGATAACAAAACAAAAATAAACGCGCCCGGAATTATTTCCAAATGTTTTATATATATGTATTTATTTATTTTGGCTCGGGCCTTCCGCTTTTGTAGAAATCTCAAAATACGCGGTCGGAGGGGTTGGACGGGGAAGATTTATTTTTTTCCCCGCATCCACATCATCAGCCTCCCCACCATCGCCGCCGTTGTCGTCAAATCAAAAATCCGATCCGCTGCCACCGGGTGACGCTGGGCCGAACCGCGCGCCCCCCTTTGCGCGTGGCGTGGAGGTTCGACGTTATTGGAACGACGCTCACTACGCGCGGGGGACTGAGGTTTCTCCGCGGAGACGGCACTTGGGGGGGGGGCGCCTCCCCCCCCCCCCGAGTCCTCGGTCCGTGATCCACGCGAGCCCCGAGGGGGTTCTTGACGACGAGAAGGGGAGGAGGGGGGTATGGGGACCGTGGTGGAGATGCAGGTGTCGCGGAAACTCCGCGTAAACGAGACAGCGTTTTTTGCCTGGTGTTTCTTGTTGCCCTCAATTCCGATATCCAGGAATTATTTAATAAATGAAGCTGTTAAGTTAGGCTCCTTGCGTGTGCTGTGTGCGTGCGTCTGCACGTCCGTGTGTGTTTGCGTGCGTAAGCAGCGGTGGCCCATTGGTTAGCGCGTCGTGCTACGAATCCGGCTACCCGAGTTCGATTCCGGCTGACGGCCAATAAGCAGTGGTGAATATTTGCACCATTTGTGGGCCTGCTCTGGGTCAGACCCTTGTGTGCCGTGTCGGCCTTCATAGGTACTCGCTAACAGCACTTACCCCAACAGTCTGTTAAGGCTATGCTGGGGATCTTTGTCTCTGTTTTGTGTACTTGTACGACTGTACATCTGTGCGCGTCTGTATGTGTGTACGTCTGTACGTGTGTGTATGTCTGTGTGTATGTACGTCTGCGTGTGTGCGCGCGTACGTGGCTTAAACCCGTCACTGTGATTTTTTGAAAGTCGCTCTGATGCGCAACACCACATGCATATTTTAATGATCGACGGTTATTTATAAAAAAAAAATATCGCTCGTGGATTTTTTTTTACCCTTACATTTTTGACATTTTATTATTTTTTATTTGTATCCCGTGCGTGTGCGCGCCTTGGCTACGTTAGCCGTCGCCTGTCGTCGGCGTGCGCCGTTGTTGTTGCTGTTTTTATTTTATTTTCCCGGGGGTTTCGCGCAGCGGCCGTAGCCGCATCGCGTCGACAATTTTGCGAAAAGGCCGAGAGAGTTGCCTTCGCCGATTCAGAAAGAAACGGAGGAAATTGTGATTCGTAAAAAAAAAATAACGTTTTTTTTTACGGTTTACGATTTTTTTTTCGTGACTATAGCATCGCTTGCTGGCAGAAGTTAATATTTCCACCTCCTGGAATGCCTCTAAACTGCGGTCAGTTTTGTTCGGGCTGTTGAATTTTTGTAACAAAGATTAAATAAAGGGTAGTGGCGCGGTGGTGGGTGGGGGTGGCGTTTGGGTCACACCGATGCTTTAGCAGAATTCCAAGATTCGCGATCCCGCTTCGATCGGATAATTATATTGCTTACATTCCCCGCATAATTCGCTCGCCGCGAACAGTCAAGTACCGTAGCGCGGTCGTGACTCCTGCGCGTGTATCGCACGGCAAGAAAAAAATGTTTTAGCGGCTCTTGATATTAATTTAAACATTTTTTTAAACATTTTCTTCACAGCTACGGCACGCAGAGGAGGAGGTCGCAGACAGAGGGAGAAACATCGTGGAGACGATCGAGCGAACGCCGTGCCAAGGATGGCGACGACCACAACGACGATGAAGAAGAAGAATAAGCAAGCGAGGGGTGGGGTTCAGGAGCGGTGACGGCGATGCGGTGAGTGGGGGGGGACAGGGGATGGGGGGGGGCATCGGAGAGATGGTGCCGTTGAAGCTGGGGAGGGGGGTGAGGAGCGGATGGGGAGGTACTGGCGCACACCTTGGTCGTCGCTCGTACCGCCCACTCGCCCTCCTGCCCGCTGTCCCTCTCGCTGTCCCTCTCATTGTCCCGCTCGCTGTCCCTCTCGCTGTCCCTCTCATTGTCCGGCTCGCTGTCCCGCTCGCTGTCCCGCTCATTGTCCCTCTCATTGTCCCGCTCGCTGTCCCGCTCACAGTCCCACTCGCTCACCGATCGCTGCCCTACTCGCTGTCCCTTTCGCTGGTGCGCTCGCTGTCCCTCTCTCTGTCCCGCACGCTCACCGCTCACGCGCGCCCACCCCCCCAAGCTCGCTCCGACAACATGCATATTAAACGCTCGGAGGCCATTTTCTGTCGTGCCTCTCTCGTTATCGTTAGGCGGCAGCGCGGCGCGCAAATTCTGCCCGGGCCAACGACGCTCGCACAATTACCGCGGTTTGTAGATTTCTCCGCGTCGTCCTGTCCCGCCTGCCCTCCCCTCCCACCTCCTCTCTATCTCCATCGTCGTATCGCGGAAGCCGTCGCAGCATTATTTATTTTTAATTAAAGGCATTGCAACGCGATATCTGAGCGCGCGCGTGCGACCCCCCCCCCGCCTATCCCCGGTGCTCCCGTAAGTGGATTAAACCCCCAGTTTTTCGGGGGGGGGGGAGGGGGGGCGGCGTGCAGCGATAATAAAAAAAATGTAAATTTTTTTGGGGACGTTTCCTTCGAATAATTTTTTTGACCAGCTTGTCGTTTTTTTTTCGCTTCGCTTGCTGTCAACGTTTCTCGCAGCCGTCGGGGACTTGTGCGGGATCGTTGTTGGGGGTCGGGTGGGGTGGGGGTTTGCCGTTGCATTTCATTCACGTGGTTCGCGTGCTTTTTAGCTACGATGCTAGTAGGCAGACAACGATGGGCAGCGTTCGCACAAAGAAGGAGATCGTGGGGCGTAAATTCTGCCCCCGTTCAATTTTCGCCAGAACGGCGGTCGTACTTACTCCGTACAGTTATTCCGGGCAATTTCACTCTTATATACACACACACACAAAGACAAAGATCCCCCCCGTATAGCCTTTAACAGACTGTTGGGGCAAGTTCTGTTAGCGAGCAGCACCTGCGATGGGCGGAACGGTAGACGATGCGGAGGGGTGGCCAACACCACGCCCGGCCGCCTTTGTCTCCCCAAGTGGCGATGTTTACACACCGCACCAGGTAGCTCATTTGAGGCTGAGTCGACCTAGGGGAAGGCCCAGGACCGGTTCAGATAACCGTCACCGGTGTTGGTGGGCGTGAGCGGGAATCGAACTCGCGTCTTTGCCGAGTTTGTAGTGCCGCGTGCTGACCGCTACACTGCCGCTCGCCCCTGCATACGCACACACGCACGCACGTACGCATGGACACAGGCACACAGGCAATCGTACACGCAACACACACGTACACGCAAACGCACGTAGCACATTATTAAAAACATTTATCAGACGGAACTTTTAGTCACCGTTCGCGTATAAACACCTCCGCCGCCGTTTCTATTTATGCAACGGCAACAATTCGCAGCCGCGTAACGACGATGTCCAATCTCGCAAAACAAATATCATTGGAATTAAACTAAAATGTTTTTTTTTTAAATATATCTATTTCGTTAATTCATATTTCCCTCCTCGTACCGCTCTTTTTAACGCAGAAATGGACACACAAACCACCCCCCCCCTCCCTCCTCCCCCACCGGATTTTTCGCGCAAAAGAGCGGCAACTTCCAAAAGCGGGATTTTATTTCGTTGAAAGTAAGACGATTGCGACGACGATCAAGTGCCCCCCCCCCCCTACCCCACCCCTTACACCTGCGACTCCGCGGTTGAGCTGTCGGACGGCTCGCGTTGGAGTCGGAATATTTATTCATACCGGAGGAATCCGATGAGCTGTAAAGCTCATTTTTTTTTCACGGATGTCCAGTAGAGGGTCAACCCTTCGTCACCTCGCCGCCGGTGTACCGGCCGCGGTGCCGATCGACGCTTTACCAAATTGGCGGTTTGGGAAATTCTCACAAACTCGCGTACGGTCGTTTGAAAAGCATTCTGGGGGAGGGGTTAGAGGGTGGGGGGGGTCGGACACGTAACGGGCAGTGCAATGCGCGTTAATCTACCGCCACGTTCAATTGCCAAGTCCAGTCTCGTTGTGATATTCATTTTTACGTGAAACGGGGCGAGCGTTGTTGCCCCTGCTGCTGCCGACGTAGGAACGTAAATTATTAAGTCGAATTCAAAAACGAATTGGTAAATCATCCTAAGTACAGGAGCGGGGGGGGGGGGGTGACCCTCCCGAAGACTGGTCTCGAGACTCGGGGGGGGGGGACTCTCCCGAAGACTGGTCTCGAGACTCGGGGGGGGGGGACGAACGACCTCAGTCCGTCGTTACATTCCTTGATCTCTCCGTTTACAATAAACTAAACACCCCTTTCCCCCTCGTGCCAATTGAAAAGTCACAACGCAGCCACAGGGGCATGTGAGCCTGACTAACACAAATTGTGTTCGTCAGGCACCGCGGTGGCGAGATGTTGACTACCTCGCCTGCTATGCAGGAGGTCGTGGGTTCGATCCAAACCCTGACGCCTGCTGCTGCTGTATATTTGGAGTTTGCGTGTCTCTCTCTCCCCGTGGTCGCGTGGATTTTTCTCCGGGTCCTCCGGTTTTTGCCTTCACGTTTAGAATCAACGTCGCCGTGCCGAGTCCCAGTGAGCGCGCGCGCGTGTGTACGTACGTTGAACTTATTCCGTACAGGACGTATCCGACCGTGCTAAATGTCTCTCTCCTGGCCTCTTGAACTCGCCCGCCTGGTTAAACAAAAAATAAACTCGCGTGGCCATCCGTCATAGGGTTAATTTATAAGTCAAAATTTCAGCGTAACAATTATTTAATGTATTATTATTATTTAATAATATATCAAATAACAATTTAACAATTCGTTGCGAACCGCCCGTCAACTTTACCGGTGCACGAGCCGGCACGGGTTAGCTGTCGGCGCGCCGCTAAGCGCCGGCTACACCGCCGGGCACGCTGCGGGCGCCGTGGCGCGACTCCGCTCCGTGCGGGGTCCCGACGTCGGAGCGGCGGCGGCGACGGGCCGACGAACGTCCGGGGAACGACGTTCGTCTCGCGTCGTTCCCCGACGTTCGTCGCGTTGCCGCCGCACAGCCGGTCATCGTGCCTGCGGATCGATCGCCGCTCGTGATGATGGGGCCGTGAGTCTTAACTGCGTGGGGAAAATTTTCATCCGGCGACCCGGAGCGGCCATCTTCTATCGGTGACGATCAGTGTTACTGTGTTGGTGAGACTTTCATCCAACAGTGGATAGATCGTGATTCATGGTGATGATGGTGGTGATGATGATGATGCAGCTGGATCACGGCTCTTGATAACGACGAGTGTAATTCTACGGGCGGATCATCATCCAGCAGTGGATAGATGGTGTTCACCGACGGTGGCTCACGGACGGCGCGTGCTCGGCGACCCACGCCGACGTCCGCGACTCGCCGATGAGCACGGAAAAGAGCGAAACCTGACCGCAGGTTCACGCCGGTCGGCAAGTTCAGACGTCGGACCTTGAAACGGCCCAAAGCGGGTTAAGCTGGCCAGTTGAGATTTCCTCTTTGTCCTCATCTTCCCGCGAATACATTTCTATAATGAATATAGCGTGTGTTGTGGGTTCGTGCCTCGTGCCGCTTATGCATTGTACTACGTTTTGTTAAAAGGAGAAATAATGTGTACGTGACCTCTTCCAACCCGGTCTGTTTTCATTCCTCGATTCATGAGGCTCGGAGCCTCCCCATCACGACACCGGCCTCCTGCCCAGTGGCTCCAACCAGCTGCACCACCACCACCACCAACACCACCGCCACTGCCACCACCAACACCACCGCCACTGCCATCATCAACACCACCGCCACTGCCATCATCAACACCACCGCCACTTCTACGGCCACCATAAACCTCCACCACCGCCGACGCCGACCACCGCAATCACCACAACCACCACCACCACCACCGTCATCGGTCTGTTAAGCGATATGGGGGATCTTTGTGTGTGTGTGCGCGTCTGTGTGTGTCTGTGTACGTGCGTGTGAGCGCGTGTGTGTACGCGCGTGTGTGTACGCGCGTGTGTGCGCGCTGCCTCTGCTGTCTGCCGGCTAGCGGCATACATTATTCAAATTATGAAAGCGGGTTCTCCATTCCCACCTCCTACCCACCCCCTTTGTCTCCCCCAGACACCCTCCCCCACTCCCTGCTACCCGTCTTCGCCCCCCACAGCGTGAACCAGCGATATCTGTCTATACCGCAACCACCGCCAACCCCATTACCACCGCCACCAACACCACAACCACCTCCACCATTACCGCCACCGCCATTACAGCCACCAACACCGCAACCACCGCCACCGCCACCCCCATTACCACCGCCACCAACACCACAACCACCTCCACCATTACCGCCACCGCCATTACAGCCACCAACACCGCAACCACCGCAACCACCACCACCGCCACCCCCATTACGACCGCCACCAACACCGCAACCACCTCCACCATTACCGCCACCACCGTCAACACCGCAACCACCACCACAGCTGACACTGCCACCAGCGCCACTGCCACCATGGCCACCACCGCCATCACCACCGCCACCACCACCACTCTCCGTGTCCATGACCTCCACTTGGCGATTGTGATACAAACATTTCGCGATCGCCGGCCGCTGTTGTTTTGCCTGTGGTGTCTGTCACAGCTGGGCCGGCCGTGATGCGGTTGGGGAGAGAGGGCGAGGGGGGGGGGGCGGGCGACGGGGTGGTGGTGGTGGTTGTGGTGGGGGGGGGGAGGTGGTGAGGACGTGCGGTTGGGGCACGAGACGTGGCGCCTTGGGGCGGGCCGCGTGGCTCTCGAGAGCGCAG